CCATTTTTTTCTGTTTATTCTGATAATTGTCTCTCCTGTTTAGAGCCTTTCCTCAAATGCCTGGGGATCCTTCGCTATCTTTTTCTCATTTGAGTGAGGTACCGAAAAGCTGATTGGAAAGGATTCTGTGGCAAGAATTTGCTCATTACTCATTGGCTTCCTTCCCTTAGGCTTACATTTTAGCTTTCTCTGATCTGCTGTGTGAGTTTCCACTTACTCATCTTCTTCTGCTACGACTTCCTCTCCTGCTCTCGGTCCTCGTGAGCTTATGCATAATTTTTCCATTATTGTAATTTCAATGGGGTTTGAAAGAAAGTAGAAAGTAAAACATCCACTTTAACCAGAAGCCTCTTTCCATTTTAAAGTTCCTATTAATACAATAAATGGGGTCAAATAGAAATCAATAGTGTTAGGTTAAGTTTATGGAGATTTTTATCCTAATAAAGTAGTTTCTGGGCCTGAAGGTTTTATAAACCATTGTTTAAAACAGTTTCTTAATACATCACCCTAGAAACATAAACAGCATTTCTTCTTGTTCACTCTTGTATTCAAGTCAAGAAGAGTTTAAAATCTAATAACTAGTATATAAGAAAAATTGTTTCAGAGGATTGTAGTTGCTTTGCCAACATGAGTCAATGTTAAGAAATTCTATATTAGGGTTTAGAGTTTAACCAATATAAAACGTGCCTTCTTATGAACTATTATATCCTAATCAGAATTCCTGATTATGAGGTGGTTTGTATTTGTCACTAGGTCTTTACATAAGTAAAAGAAACAAGATTAGAATTATTGCACAGCCCTACCTCAGACAAAATGAAAGAATTCTTTTGAGTGAATCTCACTGCTCATTTTCAACTAAGCAAAGTCTCATCAGTGTTACATATAAAGAAACTATCAAGATAATCATAATAGAAAGAAAATCATCTTGTTCTAGCCTCTCAGTTTATAGAGAAGGAAGCAGGTAGTCCCTAAGCAGTGAAAGAATTTGACTAAGGTAACTCACCTAGTTAGTTATTCACATGGCCACTAAACTTTACCTTTTGACTCCCAAATAATATTTTTTTCATTATGGTAGAATAATAGAAGAGAAATATACAGTAAATACATTGATGAATAGTTTTGTTGCTTACTGAACAGAGGAGTGATTTTTAAATGGTAAGGTTTGTATAATTATTGAAAGAGGTAGAAATTTAAAGTAATAGGAACCTAATCTAAGATTATATGGGTAACAATGGAAAAGGGCCAGATTTGGGCTAGACTGGGAGAGAATTATCTGGCCTCGATGATGAACCTCACTCACATAAATAATAGAAAGGGACTGTTAGATATAAGACACCAGAGTTGTTATGATAGGAGAAGATAATGAAATTAGAGGTTGGTACTGAATTTGCTACACTAGCTGAACCAAGTTAAAAAGTTAAAAAGCAGTCAATTCCTATTCCTGGTCTGACCATTTTCAGTCACTGGCACCAAAATCTCCCAGTTGTAAGTGGAAAACTGCTAGAATGGCAAACAGGATTTTTTTTTTTTTTTAGCTTCTTTGTTTATTTTTCCCGTAGGTTTTATTTCTGTGTTTTAAATATCTGTGGTTACCTTAAATTGAAAAGAAAACCAACTCATCTTTCTCTGTCTCCACTCTCCCCCCAAAAAGACTCTCTTTACCTTTCTTTCTGTTTAATCTTTGGCACAACCATTTGGTCACTCTGGCCTGAGAAATAGAAGTTATCTATGATTTATCCTTTTTATTGTACAACAGAAAAAAAATTAAAACTTTAAAGAATGATCATTTTCACCTCTTAAATTCATTGAGCTACCAACACAATTAGTACTTCTCACAATGTATTCTAATCATTTATTTACTTGTCTGTTATTCCCACCGGATTATGAGCTTCTCAAAGATTATTTTATTTGTATTTCTCTTACAGTACCTGACACATAGAATTTGCTCAGGAAATGTTTGTTTGGTAAAAGAGAGCTTTGTCTATGGGGGTCAAACATAAATTCTTCCCGGCATTACAAATTGTCAAGAATCTGGATCCTCCCTGCTTTACCTTCCCAGTTTCCACACTGATTTGGTTCCTTCCTGTTTATCATGCGTGCCTCCATGTCCTTGTTTGCGCTGGTACACTGTACCTGGATTTTTCTACTCTAGGTCCAGTCCTTCCCACCCATCTAAATTCTATTCTAAAAGTCCCTAGCCCCACCTCTTCCCTCTAGACTTCCTATGTGAGTAAAACATCTTTCTCTTTTCTGAATTCCTGTACTACTTATTGCTGGTTATAAATCATTTTGTCTCTTTATCATATTCATGGAGCTATAGCTACCATTTAATTGAGTATCTCTTATATACCAGGATCTGAGATGTACAAACCTTATTCAAATGGTCACACAATCCCCAAAGGTATAGTGGTGTTTTCCCCATTTTAGAGACGAGAGGTAACTGAGGCTCAGAGAGTTTAAGAAACTTGCTCAAGATTACACAGATCTGAATTTAGATCTTTCTAACTCCGAAAAGCCTTTGCTCTTTTAGCCGCACCACAGTATTTCTTCTCCCTCAAAGCAGACCTTTCAGGATATACCCATCCTTCCCTACATCTGTCACATTTTATAGATGCTTAATGAATGTTTATTGACTTGAGTCGATAGGATTTATACGGGTATTGAAACCTATTCCACTTTTTTGTGTTTTAATATTTTAGTGGGATGCCTTGTTTTTAAAAAGTTACTCCTTTTTTTGGCTATTTTTCATAACTGATTATATACTTATAAATTTGATGTTAAAGCCAGTATCTGACGTGTTCTCTATATTTATTTCTTAACTTAAAGCACAGATTTTATAAATATATATAATTTCTTCTGGTTATATAATTTAGTAAAAATATAGTTATTTGAGAATTCAAAAGTAATATGTATAAAATGTAAATTCAGATTTTTATATATATAAGCAAAATTTTATTTAAAATAGGCACCAAAAATATTTTCTTTTAAAGATTGTCTCTGAAAGCTATTGCAATGTAGTCATATGTGCAATATTTTATAGTTCGAGACCGTGTTCGGACAAAAATGGAGCGTGATATCTTGGTAGAAGTTAATCATCCTTTTATTGTCAAGTTGCATTATGGTAAGTTATGAACCACTTCCCACCTTGTTTCTTCACCTCATCCTGACTCCCTGAGTGCATTCAGATACATTAATGTGTATAGATATTTATACGTATGTGTTTAGCAGATACATATAGTAATGTCATGGAAATTAAACTGTCACTTCTTAGACAAATTTCAGAAGCTTTTGTTTCATTTAGCTTATGTTTCTTTTAAACATTATAGTTTCTGAGTGGTAGCCATAAGAACAGGTAATAATAATCATTTTTATTATATTAATTAACAATTTACCAGCATTTTCTAGTCCATATATGTTAGCCTAACTTAAAATCAAGGAAGATCTCTAATGTCCTGAAACTTTTATCACCTTTCTTTTCCCTAAAGGCATTTGTGCTTTTTCTTGGTGGGTAAACGTGTGATTTTTACCATGTGTAATTAAAGCTAACCAACCCACATTTTTTCTGAAGTTAAGTGACGTAGTTTCTGTATTTTGTTTCATGTTTAAATAAGTCTTTTTCTGTTGGGATTTTTCTTATTGATTACATGTTTTAGAACTGCTGTTTTCCTGAGACACTATTGCTTAAAGAAAATCTAACAAATGTTCTAGCGGTTCTGTAATAAGCAGTACTGTATTTAACATTTCCACATGGAAACTAAGAGAAATCAGTGGTTATCTTCTAAATAAAAATCAATTTGAATCTATGATATAATTATTAATTTGCTAAAAATAATATTCCTTTGCGAATGTGGACCTAATATAAGCCTAAGAAAATAAACTGTGGTGGATTAAACATAATTTTTATTTCTTCATTCAGCTTTTCAAACTGAAGGGAAGTTGTATCTTATTTTGGATTTTCTCAGGGGAGGAGATTTGTTTACACGCTTATCCAAAGAGGTATATAATTAATCTTTATTTTTAATCAATTTATACTTATCCTGTTTCAACTAAAGCTTTGTTGTATATCAATATTATGCTTCTCAGATTTTCTCTAGTGGCACATGATTCTTACACTGAATAATCAGAGCCAAAAAGAGTTATTTTCCTACCTTTTGAATTTATTCTAAAAGTCGAACTTTAAATTGATTGACCGACTTTGTCTTTTGTCCTGCTTCTTTTAGTTATAGTTTTTTCAGAAACAATAAGATATCAACAAGATATCTTTAAACAGTTGGTAGTGGAAATTCAGCATGCATTTTAAAGATCATTTTTCATTTCTAAGATGTTAACTGTAGTGGGACAACAATGGCACAATCTAAATACAGTTGTTTCTTAACAAAATGTAAAATTATTTCCCCCACAGTGCATTTCGAGCATTTAGTAAGTAATTAGTTGACTGAGTTGATCATTTTTGCAAATTTCTTTCATAAGTAAATTGTGGATAAAACTACCTATAATAACATATTTATAATTTTTTGAATATTTAAACTCTGAGATAGAACTTTAAAAATTACAGATACAAAAAGAAAATAAAGACAGAAAAATTATTATTTTATTTTAGGTGATGTTCACAGAAGAAGATGTCAAATTCTACTTGGCTGAACTTGCACTTGCTTTAGACCATCTGCATAGCCTGGGAATAATCTATAGAGACTTAAAACCAGAAAAGTAAGGAATCATGCTAAGTTGAATACAATGTAATATCATTACTTAGGAGGTAATAAAAAATAAAATTACTTCATAGAACTACCACAAACAGTGCATTAGAGTGAATGTGTTACACTGTGTATTCTCATAACAAAAGTATTGTCATACTTTTAAATATCTGTTAATCAAAATTTCTGTTAATATTATCTTGCATCATTTGCATTCTTTGATTTTTAATGAGGTTGAAATCTATGTTCATATGTCTGTTGGCAATTTGTATTTTTATGTGATTTTTCTGTACATGGCCTTTCCTCATTTTTCTTTTGGAATGTAATTTTTTTCCCATTGATTTGTAAAAGACCTTTACAAATTAAGAATTTAGCTATTTGACATATATTGCAAATACATTTTTCTAGTTTATCTTTTAATTTTAACTTTATGTTATTTTAACCAACACAAATATTTTTTTCCTCAGTCACATCTTTCAGTCTTTTCTTTTGTGATTTCTTCCATGACTTTTATTCTTAGAAAGGCATTTCCAATCTCATGATGAGATATTTTTCTTCTCATTTTATGGTTTCTTTATTTTACTTTTAACTTCATCTGGAAATTTTTTGGTATGAGGTATGGCAAAGAGCTAATGCTTTCCTCCAAATGTCATTTATTGAAAATTTTCTTCACAGAATTTCAAATTTTAAGTTTGAGTTGAGCAGATTTCCTCTCACTTTGATAATAGCAGTTATCAAGAAGCTAATGTAATTCTACTTTTAGTTTTGTACACACTTCTGTGTTTTAATTTCTTAGTGTTTACCACTTTGAGTAAGAAAGGTTTTTTTATTTTTTAAGGATATAAACAAGAGCCTTACTTTATCAAGAATTTTAAAGTTCTTAATCAAGAGCTTTATTGAGATGTAATTCACATACTAGACAGTTCACCTACTTAAAGTATAAAATTCAGTGATTTTTAGTATATTCACAGTTATGCAGCCATCATCTTTATCAAGATTTTAAATATTACATTAAAATGTTACATGCAAAATTTTCAATATATTACAGTAGGAAACAGGAAATGTTTTTTTGGAATCCTGTTAAAGGATCATTTAAAAATTGTTATACTTGCAGGTTTTATGTTTGTTTTTCATATATTTTGTTTTTGGATAAGTTTCACTTGGTTCTATTTTTATTCCTCAGATAATTACTGAGGTTTTCTTATCATTTTCCCAATTTCTAACTATCATTACATAAAATATAATTCCTAGTGGGAATCACTATTCAAGCATATAATGCTTAGAAGAAAAAATTACTATAAACATAAGATTAAACATTCATAATAAAAAAATATGTGTTTTACATCATTTAATTGAATGTTTTTTATTGTAGACCATTGTATTAGCATTGGCCACAAAATTATAGATAAAGCATGGACTCTGCCTCAAAAGTCGAATAAGATCACTTGTAGTGAGATCTTTCTCATACCTGTCTAGAAAATGCTATTACATTGAAATAACTTTAATTGTTAACTGATCCAAGTAAAGACCATTATATAGAATTTGACAGAAATTTCTCAGACCAATTGTTTTATGTACTGGGAGGGATTTTCCAGATACTTTTAAACTAGAACTCTGTTATAATAAATATAGTTAAAAATAATTATTAATAGTTGAAAGGGAACTTTGTTATTGAGAATAATACAGTTGACTTTTTCTTTGAAAGATAAAGGATGGGCATGGTTATCTTAAAAGTGTTTTAGAAGGCATAAGTAATACCCTTTTAGCCAAGTTTTATTTTTTTCTCTCAAAATTATCAAGAATGATTTGAGGCTTGTTTTGTTTCTAGAACTGTCTTTCATATATTTTTTAGACAGAAAGATAGATGATTTCCACGATACCTAATAATTCCCTTTATATTCCCTAAATGTGTTGGTCTGCTTTATAATCAAGCATAATCAAGATTTTTTTTTTTTTTTCATAACAAGTCCCTTGTTATGAAGAGAATTGAAAAATATGTTCCTACTGAATTACCCTCAGCGGTAAACTTTATTGTAATCATAGTTGAATTGATGTCATAGGAAGATTGGTAGTAATTTTGACATAGCAAAATTTTATTATAACAAAATTTGGCTTAAACATTTTTTTAGTTAGAATTAAAAGTAAGGAAATGTCATAGCTTTGAATATAAGTGAAATAGTTTATTACTCTACCTTTGAAGTCAGTATGCTAAAATACCTATTCAGAAACACACTATTGGTTTATAGCTTAGTACTTTCAATAGCTCCTTGATTAATGATGTTTCTTTCCACTCACGTATCTGCTAAAGCCAGAAGCCTGAGTCTCTTCTCCATTTGTTCTTCTTTATTACAACCCATATCTAAGAGCTTACGACATACCCTTTATTTTTCCCTTGAAATTATTTTCTAAAATTGCAGATGTGATTATCTTTACCCTCCACACATATAAACCTTTAATGGTCTTCAGTGCCCTTGAAAAGAAGCCCAAACTATTTGCAGTGCCTTATTGGCCCTTTATAGACTGGTCCCATTTGTTCAACATACATTTCTTATTTGTCTGTACTCTGCTAGGCACTTAGCTACAAGATGAATAAAGTGAAACCTTCTAGGAGCTCACTGTTTACTGAGAGAAAACACTGGCGAATATACAGTGAAGGGATGGGTTGATGAAAAACAAGGAGTGTGAGGAAGGTGTATTGAGAAGATTGTGTAGGCCATGTCAAAAAAAAAGCTAGGAAAGAATGATGGAGTCAGATGCCTTAAAAATGAACAACAATGACAACTTTAATACATTTGACTTAGATACGTGGACCCTCTGTCTATTGTGCAAGTACTAGGGAATCTAGTTAGGCCATCTCTGCAGAAAGGCATTAGAAAGAGCAACTTAGAAGAGTATATAGGTTTTGGTTCTTTTCTTAGTAGTTTTCAAGTACCCGTGACTCACTATAAGTTTATAAGGCTTTGCCTTTGGGATCTGTTATATATGTGTATCCAAAACATAATTTTTCTCCTCCTTTTTCTTTACCTTCTTATTCACTGTTTAAAGCAATATTTTAGAATAAATGTGGTGATCTGATGCTTAACAAAGTAATCTCAGTTTTAGCTTCTGTAAATCTCTAGTGGTTTGAAAAGAATTTCTGACTTTGTCTTTTTTTTTTTTTTCCAGCATACTTCTTGATGAAGAAGGTCACATCAAATTAACAGGTAAAAATCCTCATTTTGTTAAAATATTCTCTCCTACTCTCTATATAAATTTCTTTGACGTTTGAACATGGTACAGATAATGAGTAACACATTGTGTTAAAAACTTGGGTTAGAATTTTTAATAAATGTAAATATTGGAATTCAAAGTTTAAACTTTATGTGTGCAAATTATAGTAGAGTATTTATGAATTCGATATTTATTTTGGCAGATTTTGGCCTAAGTAAAGAGTCTATTGACCATGAAAAGAAGGCATATTCTTTTTGTGGAACTGTGGAATATATGGCTCCAGAAGTAGTTAATCGTCGAGGTCATACTCAGAGTGCGGACTGGTGGTCTTTTGGTGTGTTGATGGTAAGGTTTGGGGTGTTTTTTTGAGAAGTTCAGTAATGAATATAGTACATATATAAATCATTTGTTTTATTATATAGAAATTTTAGAAGATGTGATTGTAATTAAGATGATGCTTTCTTACCTTCTGACCTTGAGATTTTATACTTATTGACTAATACCTCTGATTATTTTGCCTTTTCGTAGTTTGAGATGCTCACTGGGACACTGCCTTTTCAAGGAAAAGATCGAAAAGAAACAATGACTATGATCCTTAAGTAAGTACTCCCTGGTGGATATGTTTTGATGAGATTTAAAAATAAATGCTTCAAACTAAAAAAAAAAGAGAGAGAGAGATTTTAGAGTGTTGGCTATAAGAAATAACTAAAACTAAGAAATTCATCAATATTATGACATCAGTATTATGTAGTTTAAATACAAAAAATTCCTTAGATTTAGAGTACTGATATTATCTTCGCGTTAATGGTGAAATATTGAAAACTTTACCTTTGAGATTTGGAATATGACAAGGATTCTGATTACTCCACTTCTGTTCACATTGTCTTAGAGGTACCAGCAAGAACAGTAAGGCAAGCAAAAGAAGTATCATTTAAGGTTTTAAAGGTTAAGGTTTAAGGAAGAAATGTAATTGTCATTATTTAGATAACATGATTGTGTCCATAGAAAATCTCAATCTTCATACAAAGTTTTGGAATTAATAAGAGTTTAGCAAAGTTGCTGGAGAAAAAGGCCATAAATAAAATCTGTTTCATGTTTGTATCCTAGCAACAGAAATGGAATGTTTTTAAAAGATACACTTTACAATAGTATCAAAAATATCAGATACCTAGGGATAAATCAAGCAAAAGTTATATAACAACTCTATGCAGAAAATTAGAAAATTTTAGTTAAAAATATTTAGGAAGAACAAAATAACATGGACGGTTGTATTGTATTCATATGACAGACCCAGTTTTGTAAAAATGTAGATTCTATAGGTCATTGTTATCCAATAAAAATATGAGCCATGTAATTTAAAATTTTCTAGTAGCAACATAAAAGTAAGAAGAAAAAATTAAAATTGTGCAGTCATGCACCATATAATGATGTTTCGGTCAATGACAGACTGCATATATGACGGTGGCCCACAGTAAGATTATAATGAAGCTGAAAAATTCCTATCATAGCCATCGTAACATCATAGTGCAATGCATTACTCACGTGTCTATGGTGATGCTAATATAAACAAACCTACTGCACTGCTGTTCATATGAAAGTATAGCACATACAGCGATGTACACTGTACTTACCATTGTGTTATAGTCGCCTACAGTATTCAGTGTAGTAACAAGATATACAAGTTTGTAGCCCGGGAGCTGTAGCCTATACCATATAACCTAGGTGTGTAGTAGGCTATACCGTCTAGGTTTGTGTAAGTGCACTCTGCGATGTTTGCACAAAGACGAAATCACCTAATGACTCATTTCTCAGAATGTATTCTTTTTGTTAAGTGGCACATTACTGTAATATATTTTATTATATTTGTTTTATTATATAGAAATTTTAGAAGATGTGATTGTAAGATCTAGAAGATTTAGAAGATTAATGATATATGATATGTTATTTTTTCATATTTATTTGAAATTCATTGTGCATTTTACACTTACAATTTGGGCTAGCCACATTGCAGGTGCTCAGTCAGTGGCTGCATGTGGCTAGTGGCCACCATGTTGGACAGCATAACTGTAGTTTCAATGCAAGTCAAATTTAAATCCTAAAAGTTTTTTATATGGAACTTCATAAATTTTAATATGATAATAGAAAGGACCAAGAATAGCTAAAACACTCTGAAGAAGATCACAATAGGAAGACTTGCTTTACCAAATACCAAGTTTTACTATAACTGTAATTACTCCAGTCAATCAATAAGAAAATGTGAACCCAATAGACATGGGTAGGAGATTTAGGGACTTTATAAAAGAGGATATTCAATGGCCAATAAACTTCTAAAAAGATGCTCACCCTCATTAATCAAAAAATGCACATTAAAATCACAACAAGCTACAACTGCATACCCATCAGAGTGACTAACAATAAACAAATTGACAATACAAAGTGCTGACAGGATGTGGAGCAGTGGCAACTTTCATACATAGCTGGAAGGAATATAAATATTCGTATAACCACTTTGGAAACGATTTTTTGGCGTTATCTTTTAAAATCAAATCTATGTATACTCTCATCTGATAATCCCATTTTTAGTCATGCACCTACTTAATATGCATCAAGGTACTTGCACATCAAGAAACAAATACAAAGGTGTTCATAACACCATTATTTGTAATAGCCAAAAAGTGGAAATTGGATCGTTAACAGATTAAAGAATCGATTTAAAAAATTATGGTATATTCATACAATGCAATACAGCAGGTGTCGACAAAACTATCTGTAAATATTTTAGGCTTTGCAGGCCAGGCCACACACAGTATCTGTCACATATTATTGTTTATTGTTTGTTCCAGTACTTTAAAAATGTAAAAACCATTCATAGCTCAAAAGCCATACAAAAACAGGCTGAGGCCTTTGGCCCATGGGTGTGGTGTGCCATACAGCAAATAAAATGAACAAACCACAGTTATATGCAACAACTTGGGTAAATCTCACAAGAATGTTGAGCAAAGGCAGTTCAGACACAAAAGAATGAATATTATATGATTCTATTTATAAAGTTTTAAAAGCAGACGAACTAAAGCATAGTTTTTAGTGTCCATATTTAGATCACAAAAGCCTGAGGGAAAATAAGGAAAGTGGTTACTTGAATGAGGAATTCTGGTGATGTTATATTTCTTGGTCAGATGATTATTCACTTTGTGGTAAATCATTGAGCTGTGTACTTTGGTTTTGAGTTGGGTTTTTTTGTTGTTGTTGTTATTGTTGTTTTTTGCACTTTATGTTTTTCTTCACAATAAAAAAGGTTAAAAAATATTTGCTATATAAATGAATGTTCACTGAACCTTCATCACTCCATCTACTCTAGCCTCTTCCTTTCAGCTCACAAACACACTCTGGTGTAGAAAAAAAATATAAAACCTTTTTTCAACCTAGCCTTTTTTTATTCAGTTTTCTGAACCATCTTCCTGCATCCTTTCAACACAAAGCCTCTTTAAAGAGTACTCTTTCTGTTACCATTTTTTTGGCTGCTTTTATTCCACAGCCTACTTGTCATTCATTCCCACCACTCTATTGAAACTTTTCTCAGTGTTGTCATCTGTGAGCTCCTGGTTGCTTAAACCAGTGGCAGATTGTTAGAAATGTGATTCTCTACCATTTGTTCACACAGTTGATTCAACAGATTATTGAAGTCTTGCTGCCTGTACTTAGGATGCAGCGTAAACAAGACTGAGAAGATCTCTGGTCTCACAGAGCTTTCATTCTAGTGGAGGAGACAAGGAATTAATATTTTAACAAATAAAAATATAATAATTTCAGATAGTAATAGAAGCAATAGGGATAATAAACCAAGGTACTCTTGAAGTGTAAGGGAAGGGGCTGGGGCAGGAGCCATTTTAGATGGGACAGTAAAGGAAGGTCTCTCTGAAGAATATTTGACACTGTTGGCCACTCCATCCCCCCTTAGCTTTTCCTACTCTCATCAGCTTCTCCTACCTCTCTAACCATTCCTCTTTTGGTCTCTTTTGCTTGACCATTCCTTCTCTGCCTGCTTTTCTCTTCTTAATTATGAAAAATTTCCAACATAAATTTGCAAAAATACAGTGAACACACATATGCCAATTATCCAGATTCAACAGTCGTCAAGATCTTACCACATTTGCTTTATTTTTTCCTTTTTTTCTAACTTACTGAAATATTTTAAGCATTCCAGGTATATCATTTCTCACTTATTTCAGTTTACATCACTAAAAAGTATGGATGTTTTCTTACATGACCACATCTCACAAAACTAGTAATAATGCTTAGGTATCATCTAATACCAATCCTTAACCAGATTTTTCAGATTTTCTCCAAAATGATATTTTTAAAGTCCCACATTAAATCTGCACATTTCATTCGGTTGTATTTCTTAAGCTTCTCTTCATTTAGAACAGTCTATCCTTGTTTTTCCCTTCCATTTACTTGTCGAAACCGAATCAGTTTAGAATTCCACTTTGTAGATGAGACCACTCAACATCTGAAACAAAGCATAAAGCCGATTCTAATGCTTACTACAGTAAGGGAGAGTGATGATACTGGTCGAGTAGAGTCTCCAAGCAGAGTAGACCACTGTTCTTATGTAGGGTTTTGGGGAAGGGTGGAGTTCAAAAACTGGCAGCTTTTCAGAGTCATAAGTAGGTTGACATCATCTATAAGAGTGTGGTTACTTGGGTGAGACTGTTGTTGATCAGTTGGCATTCAAGTGTGGTTAGTGGAGGCAGCCCATTCTTGTTTGGCTAATTTTTGCAGATGAAGAACAGTTACTAATTGGTTGGTTTGCAGGAGAAAAAAAAACTATTTGATCAATTGAACAGATTTAAAACCAGTTCTGGTGGCTCCCTTGTTACCAAAGTTATATAACAATTAGTCTTTTTCAAGGAGTGTGGAAATTTTTTAATTCCCCTTATGATATTGTTTAACTTGTTCCTTTTTCCTATTTTTGGTTAAACTTTTTTGGCAAGATTATTTCATAGTTTGTGCTTTTGCTCCCTATTACATCACATCAGGAGGCTTACAACACTTGGTTACTCCACTTTAAGTATGAGTTCCCATGGTTACAGCTAGCCCCCCCTCCATTGTACAGTTCCCTGTCAGACTTTAATTTCATCCATCGATAATCATTACTTGAAACAATTATTTTACTAGGGATTCAAGAATGGTGATTTTTTATTACTATTATTCCTTTTTCATTCATTAGCTGCTATATTCTGAAATAATGAGCTTTCCTTCATCAGCTAGGCCTACTTAGTTACCTTGAAATAAGGCTCAAATAAGAAAGGCAGAATAAATGCTTAATTATTTTCTTAATTATTTTCAATTGTCAGAGTCCTAGTTATTTCCACTTGGGGTGGTATCCAATGAGTTGGATTTTTATGTTAGTTTTGACTTTTCTTTTTCTTTTTTTAATATAATTAACTCATGGGATTTAATAATCGGTGTGATTCAGCCAATTGCATTCATTTTTTTAATGCTCAAATTGTCCTTTTTCTGATCACCTTTTAAATGTTCTTGTTCCCCAGGGTTCCATCTCTGATATGCTGTTTTTCCCTGTCTTTACTTATTTTCCTGGCTGACCTTAGCCTTTCCTGTGATTACTCTCAACATTTTAATTACTCCCTGATCACTCTTTCTTACCTTAACTTACCAGACACCAGACTTACATTTCCATTTACTCACCTGCCTGGCTCTCCCAAAGCATATGTCATGCATGACTTAACAGTTTTAAACTAAGTTTATCTCTATTCACCGTTCTCTTCTTGTATTCCCAATTAGCATTTCCATGCAGCCTACTTCTCGAGCCAGAAACCTGAAAATCATTCTCGATTCTTTTCTCTCACACATGCAGGTATTCACCAAGTTTACTCTCAGAAATATTTCAGTACCCCAGCCTTTCCTCTGCATTGCACTGCATACATTTCTCAGATCATGCTGAACTCCTACCCACACAACTGGGCCAAGCTCCTCAGGAGAATGCCGACTACCTCCTACCGCTTCCCACTCCAGGTCATTTTACACTGCAGTTGAAAATAAATCTGGTCATGTTAGCGAACTTTTTTAAGACCTCTGCTCTATCCCTGTTACCTAATATGGCAGTTTTTCCCCAGATTTTTTTCAACAGAACCCTAGTTCTACAAGATGTTGTTAGCTATCCTCTGAGAGCAAAGTACTGGAAACAAATGGTTAGAAAAACTCTGATTTCTTTACTCTAGATTTCTCAGCCTTTTATATGCAATGTGTTTTATTCTCTGTCTCCATCAGGGGGATATAATAGATAGCATTCCACAAACTCACTGGATCATGAAAAATTTTTGTTGTTGTCATTGTTAAGGATCTGGAGAGATTAATGTTATTCAATAAAATGTTGGGGAAACACTGGCCAAATGAATAAATTCTCAACCTGCATTTAAGGCCTTTTAAAATCTCCTGTGTTAAATTAGATATCTCCTACTGTTCCCTTAGC